CCATTTTCCTTTATTTACTTTTTTATTTTTGTTATTTCTGATTCTTTTCTTATCTTTGTGTGTATTTATATTCTAGAGAGCTATCTTAATATATATCTGCTCACATTGCTCTATTATCTTTATATATCTTGCCATGTCCTTTCTTATCTGTGTATTTCTTTGCATGATGCTCTTCTATTTTGCTGTCTATTGTTTTGTTTCTTTACTTTTTATCTATTTCTAGTATCTTTCTCTTATATTTTCTTTCTTGTTTTGCTGATATTTTGGTTATGTTTTAAGAGGTCTGGGGAATTGTGCTCTGACTAGAAAGTCAGCTATGGTTTTTCCTTTTCTCCAAGCTATCATGGGATGTGGAGCCGTAAACTTATTTTCCCATGGGGTTCCTTCAGCATTTTCTACTACCCATTCCCATATTTCCTTCAGGGAGTAGTTCAGGACTCCTTCCAAGGATGGAGAATATAGCATAGGGAAAATTAAGCGGTTTTGTTCTGCTCTTATTTTTCTTTCTAAGAGGGTTTCCCTGTTGACCTCTTTTATTCTATTTATTGCAGATCCTAGTGTTCTCTTACAATATCCTCTATTTTTGAAGAAGGTTACCATGTCTTTTAATGCTTTTTCTAGTTTATGTGGCTCACTTACTATCCTTTTGATTCTCAGTGCTTGAGAATATGGTAAGGATCTTTTGAGGCTTGGGGGATGGCATGATTGGAAGTGCAGATATTGGTGTGTGTTTGAAGGTTTGTGGTACACCGAGGTTTGCACTTTTCCTTCTGCATCCATGTATACCATAGTATCAAGGAAGGGCAACTCCTTTTTACTATATTCCACTGTGAATTTCAAATCTGGGTGTATCTTATTGAGCTCTTGGTGGTATTCCAAGAGTTCTGCCTCTGTGCCAGTGAAGATTCCAAAGATATCATCAATGTATCTATAGAAAACTGCTGGCTGTTTTTCCAGTTTTTGTCTTTTTCCTTCTATACTAGCATGTACAAAGATTTCAGCTATGGCTACTGAGACTGAGGCTCCAATAGCTGTTCCTTTGCCTTGGTTATAGAAGTGGTTGTTGAACCTTAGTAGTGTGCCTTGCAAGACATGATCTATTCCTTCTTTTATTAAGTACGGGGGTGGGGCTATCATATTATGTTCTGCTTTTAATCTTTCCTTGACATATGCAAAGTTCTTTTCATAGAAATTTGCCACAATCCAAGATGCTTCCTCCTGTGGGATGGAAGGGGTACAGTGACACTATATCAAATGAGAAGATAATAGAGTCTGTAGGAAACCTTGGTAGTGTGGTTATTTTCTTTAGAAAAGCTGTGGTATCTTGCAATCTCTCAGGTAGGAGGTCTAGCAAGGGGGTGAGATAGGTTGTTAGCAATCTATCTACGGGCCTTGTAGGTGCATTACATCCACTTAACACTGGTCTACCTGGCCATAGGCCTGTCTCTGGGTCTTTTTTCTTATGGGTTTTTGGTAGTATATACCAGTGGGGGATTATGGGTTCATGTTCTAGTAATGCATCTCTTTGACCTGCCAGGAAACTTCTTCTGTTTCCTCCATTTTTTCCTGAGGTATCTAAGGTGTAAAAGCGGTTTACTAGGATCTTGCTTTCTCTTTTTACTGCCTGTAGGGCTTCCTCTGGGTTCTCTAGAGGGATGTATGTTTCAGTATCTGATAAATGTGCTTCACCCATTGTTATGTAACTTTCTTTCTTTAGAACCACTAGAGCTCCATCTTTATCTGCTTTTTTAATGACTAGGTCTGGGTTTTGAGCCAGATCTTTAAGAGCCTCTCTTTCTCTTTTAGTCATGTTTGAATGGCAGCCATTTAAGATCTTTTCTCCTACATCCATGGTTTCACAATGGATCATTGTTTCCAACCCTGGGAGTTTTTTAGTAGGAATGCTCTCTCTCTGTTTCATCGGGAGTTGTTTGGGCAAATTTCTCCTCTTTTTATTGAATGTTCCTTCAATTTCTTGTCCTGGTAGGAGGGAATCTGTAAATCTTTTGTTTATTTGTTCTTTCAATCTATTCATTGAATTCCCTAGGTTTTCCAGGAGAGCTTTCTTTGGAGGAGGGCCTGGTACAAAGGATCTTCCCTTACTGAGAACAGAGAGTTGGGTTCTGGTCATGGGCACTTCAGATACAATTAGTTCCATCCCCATCTGCCGTACCCTCCTTCTTGCCACTGCCTTCCTCCTGCTTGCCCTTGAGCCCAGTGGTAGTTTCCTCTTTGAGGAAATCTTCCCTGTCTCTGAGGAGGCCTCCATGGCTGTGGGTGGCTTATCCAGTGGGGGTTTTGGTCTGTATATCTCAGGTGCGGGTGGCTCCTGTGGGGATATACTCTTTCTTGCCTCCACTCTTGTTCCTGTGGGGCTTTCCTCCACATTTGTGGGTGGTTTTGTTTGTGAACTGGCCTTCTTTTCTGGTATGGGCCTTGGTGTTCTCTTTGCCCTTTGGGGTAGGGGGCCCTGTATGAGGTTAGGGGGGTTTTCCTCATCTGGGTGGGTCCTCGTGTGGGAGGGAACTGCCTCGTATTTCTTTGTATTGTGTGGTTCTGGGTAGCTTTTCCACTTTTTTGAGGCTGTTTGTGGTTCTGTGGTATTGTATTTTGTTCCTTTTTCTGTTTCTTTCCGTTTTTTGATTGTGTTTTCTTGTTTTTCCTCTGTATTTCCTCTGTTTTCCTTTTAGCATATTTTTTGAGAGACATCCATGTTTCTGGGTTTTTCTTTGCTTTTTCTTTTCGGATTTGTGGTGTCTCTTTTTCCTCTACACTTTGATTTTCTTCTTGGTTATTCTTTTCTGTTTCATTTACTGTATCTTTGTCTTTTGGTATCTCTATGATTTTTTCATTTAGGTTGGAAATGACCTTTTCAAGCTGGCCTATGGCTCCGACTACTTTTTCCAAGAGCATATTGCATGCTTCTTCCCTTTCTTTGAGTCCTGAGGGGCAAGGTGGGGAAGATGGAGTAGGCAGGAATAGTTCCAGTGTGCCAGGGCTCCTTATGGAGTTATTTATTGGTGAGGGGATTTGTGTGTCATCCTCCTCCCTTTGGGGTAGATCTATCTGAGGCTCTGCCTCCTCCGAGGCCTCATTATTTCCTTCTGTTTTACTGCTAGAAGGTGGAGATTGAAGGGCCACTTCTTGGTTTTGTTCATTTTCTCTGTCTCTCTGCTCTTCATTCTCATTATTCATTTCATTATTTACTTCATTTTCGTTATTTCTCTCATTTTCATTGTTTATTTCATCATTATTTATCTCATCTTCACTGTCATTTCCATCCTCTATATTGTCTTCCATTAGGGGTTCGGGTTCATCTGGGTGAGAGTTTATGCCTATATCTCTCATGCATTTTAGAACCATGTCTCTTTCCTCTCCTGTCATTTCCATATTAGTTTGATCATTCATATACTGTATGAGGGGGGTCCCTTCTTGTAGTAAGTAAAACCTACTAGTGGGGGGTTGCAATTTGTCAATTTTCTTAGCGGCAAGTTTGCCTCTGGTATGTGCATCATGGCAAATCCTTCTGTGTGAGTGAGGGTATTTGTTTTTTAGCCTGTTCTTTTCTTTTATTATTCTTCTCCTCACTTCCACTGTGTTAGCCCTGATTGCTGCTGCCATTAGGCCTTGCCATCTCCTTGCAGCCCCTTGCAAGATCAGTTCTCCCATTTCTATTACCCACATGGGTGGTAGATTCCTCATATTACTGTCTATATTTTGTAACATGAGGTCAAATCTGTCTGTGACTCCTTTTAATTCACAGCGATCAAGGTATTTTATAATAGCTTTTTGTACTGACTCTTCTTTATATAGTTTGGCTATGTTTTTTACTTCTGTTTGTTCCTCATGAGTAGACAGGGGAGGGTGGTCTTGCAAATTATGTATCTCATCCATGAATGGGTCTTCTGGGAAGCCTAGCTGTACTTCCCCCCCTAAAAGTAGGGGTGCAAGAGGTGAAGCCTGAATTGCCGGGCTTGTATTTGCCCATGCTAGAGGGTGATTCCATCCTCCTCTAAGGGCAAGAGGGTTATTTATCAATTGTGGGTTTAATTGTGCATTGCCTATTGCTTGTTGGAAGACAGGACCCATACTGCTTCCCAGAGTTGACACCATTTCATCAATTATGCCTTCTTCAATTGGTCCTTTTGTGTTCTTACTATCTCTCTTTGTGTTTGCTCTTGTCATTGGCATCTTTTCTTGTTACTTTCGGTTATTTGTCTTTAAACTCTCTTTTTCAGATAAAATAATATTGCATAAGTCACCTTATTTCTCTCTTTTTATTCCTCAGAAAACTTATTCCCTGTACAAACTATGTATAAAGCTCTCACACTACAAAAAAGCCAAAGAATTGAAAACTGCTATTATTCCAGAGGGGTGAGTGTGCTGTCCACCAGAGGCTACCACAAGATTCTCCGAGGACACTTTGCTACCCCACAGGATTTCTCAGCAGGAGTTCAATGGTATCTGAAAATAAGAAAAAAATGGATCAGTAAAGGTAATCTGACTGTATAAATCACCACAAAAAACCAAGTGTGCAACTGTTCAGCTTTGTTTCAAAGAAATCCTTAAAAGGACTGTTCATGTGCAACTGTCTTGCTGGGCGGGCAAAGACAAGGGTTCATAGGTATCTGTGCATATATAAATTAATCCTTACTTAAAGGGGGGG